GGAGGGTAGGGGGGCTGGAGAGGGGGATCTCGGTCGGGTAAACACCCCCTTCTCCTCAGGCAAGACCAGTGCTTTTGGGAGAGGGGCTGCTCCTGCTCTGTCAAACCAAAAGGGAACATTGAAGTAGGTTCTTGCCGGGAAGGGGGGAGGATATTTGAGGATGTCTTTTTTCTCTTTTTTTAAAGCTTTGGTGTCATGTTCGAGTTATTTTTGTTGTCCATAGATCTGAGTATCATTACCAAGATAATTAAGTTCCTGAACGTAGCTTTAACAGACTGCATTTTTTCCCCATCTTGCATGCAGCTACAGGGACAAAAGTACTAATAGATGTTAAAAAGGGGGTGGTGGTGGAGGAGAAATCCCACTCTGGCCAGCCCTGGAAAGGGGCTTATGGCCAGGTATGCCCACTGGCTCGGTGGAGGGGGCACAGCCGGTGCAGCCTTTCCCACCTCCAGAACACCTTCTCCTGAACCAGTCCCACCAGTGTCCGGGTATTGCTCTGTTGCTGGGCTCTGTGCCGCGAGGACAAGTCGCAGGCTGGGGGGTGGCTCTTTTGTGATCGTGTTTGTAACAAAATTTGCTTCATGACAAAATTTGTGTCAATATCATCAAGCTGTTTACAGAGGCACGGAGAAGGGGGGTGCTCCGGGAGGAGGCTGCATCGCTCTGGCAGATGTCTTAATAGCAGAGATGCTCTGTGTGTGTGTGTACATATGCATACTATGCTGTGCTCCATGCAAAATGGGGGCCTGTGGGACTTACTCCCACACAAGAAACCTGTAGTGCGTATTAAAAATGAATGCAATCCTAAAGCATAATCTGTGGTTCGTTGGTTCTAGTGGGGTGGGTGCTGGTGGGAGGATTGTGCTGGGCTGGCTGGGGAAGCAAAACTGAGGCAGATCTATTCGGTGGCTGCAGAGCAGCCCCTCACCACAACACCCGTGCCCTCTCCCCTCCCCAGCATTTAGTGAAGAGAACAAAGATATGGGAACAATTAATCAACTGGCTAATAAAAAAGTATAAATCCCTGGGGACTGTATGCTGCTAATGCCGAGGAGCTGGCTCTGAGACAGCCACCGGGAGGGACGAGCCAGCCCTCCTCTCCTTTCCTTGCCTCTCCTCTCCCCGAGCTGCTGCCACACTTGGTTCATTCCAGCTGCAGAAGCTCAGAGCCTTCCATGCGGTGGGATTTTTTTTTCTGGGCTGAAAAAATAAAATCACAAGCCTGACCTGCTTCCCCCCCCTTTCATTTCTCCTCTTCATCCAGCTGAGCCGAGGACTATCACAATTGTAAAGGGGAAGAAAAAGGGGGGAAAACCCAACAACAACCACCAACCCCAGCACGCCCCATTCCTGCAGCCCTTTGACATGCAACCTTCCTTGGGATGGGACAAGCCGGGATGCAGCTGCAGCTTTGGAAGGAACTGGGGAAAATTGGGGATCTTTGCTCTCATGACGGTGGAAGTGAGCTCCTGGAGCCGTGTGCTGCTGCTCTCCATGGGGCTGCTGGCTGTCTCGGTGACTGGTAAGTGTAATGGAGAAAGCTGGCAACTTTAGGAGCATTTTTCTTCCTGCTCCTTAGATCAAAGAACCACTGTTAGTCCTCTTGGGGGGGAGGAAGGCATGGGGGACGATGACACTCTGTGTGTGTGCATGCACTTGTGTGTCAGCACATGCTTCCCTGTAGTGTTCAATAAGGAGTATATTTTTTTCAGACCTTGTAGCTCTGTACAAGATAGTTTCCCTCTGTATCCTTTGGGAGCAACAATTTTAAGCGATGAGATAATAAAAGGTTGCTTTATTTGATCTCATTCCCCATCTCTGGTGGGTCAAATAATTTGTCCACAGTTGCTGTATGATATGCGAGATGACTGTGGAAAAAATGCTATCACGGTTTCCCCCTCTGCCTTTCCCTTGCATCTTAATTCATTGTTTCACTTACCCTAGTGTTTGCCCATAGCTGATAAAATAGATTTAGGATGCCTTGCATGAAGACAGAAGCACTCTTCTCTTACTCCTCCTGCTTTTCAAGTTGATTCTCTCATATATGAGCTCTTTGGCCTCAGCATCGTGTGTTTTTGTGAAATATGTTTATTGACTTGAAAGATAGCAAAAGATGACTTGAATTTGGGGGGAGTTTGCTTATGTCTCCTCCCTAGTTTCTTTAACTGCCCTTGTAGCAAAAGCATATCTAAAGACTGAAGTTTATTTCTGGTGTAAACAGCAAATATTTAGGGACTGTCCTTACGGGTGTGTAGGAGGGGGAAGAGTGGGAGAGCTGAGTGGCAGTGTCTTCTTTCAACACTGTGCAGTGCCCTGATTTCCAAGAGTTTCTAAGTGATGTTTGTCTTGTGTGCTGTATCTTAGGCTAGAGGAATGCATGTTTGTGTTGATGTGTATGAAACCTTCCTGGGTTTTGTTGGGGGGTTTTTTTGGGGGGGTGGGGGTGGACGTGGACACTTTGTTATCTGGAATGCAACACTGATTTTATTATGTAAGGCAGATTTTCTCTAAGGAGAGATCCAGAATAAGTGTTAACTGTTCCCCCGAGTACTCTTGCAGTGGACCTGAAGAGTATTGCTAACTGGAAGTATCTATTAGGAAAGGGTATAAAACCACCCAAACAACCTACAAGTCCTAATTAAGGATGAATATTTCAGTGAATATTTTTCCTTTCTTTAGCAGGAGCATTTAGCCTGTACACGAGAGAACCATTCCAGCAGCTTCTGTTGTGCTTTTCTGATGCAAGTAGACCGATGCAGAGATACCTAAATATATGATGTACTATATCAGGGGCTTACAGCTTTTTTCTTCTAAGCTACCTGTAGCTTATTCATACTAGATCTTCCAGGCTTCTCTCTGTACCGGCTTGTTTAGTATATAATCCTTTCTTCTCAGGCCCCTAGCTCCCTTCTCTCTGCATTCAGAGTACTGTCTGTTCTGGATCCTTCACCCAGAGGTTGGTGCTCTATGTTGTTTTTCTTTGTGAGCATTAGATTTGCAAAAGCTTTTTAGACCTCAGATGTTTATCTGCATCAGAGCTAGAGGCATTGGTTAATAGCTCTTCTTTTTTAACAAATTCTGAAATCCTAGTAACGATCTTCTTGTCAAAGCAAGATATCAACTTTGAAATCAGTGGCTTACTGCTAGATATCCAGAACACGGTGAATGTATACAGAGTGAATGCACCCACCCTTTGCGGAGTCCATGGTGGGTTTAGGGTCTAATCCCAGAAAGTAAGTTTAGTCTGGGCTGGGACTTCTAGTACCTTCGCTGAGCAAATCGTGAACCTCAGTAGAACAGAGTTCCTAAGAGGCTTCAGTTCTAACCTTGCCTGTTCCTAGGGTTTGTGTGGGTAGTAATAACCAAGAGTACCCATAGTGTGGCAGTAGAGCTGTATATGTAAAACTATCAGTTAGTAGTTCTGGCCGTCTTAAAAATAAAGAGAAAGAAATCCTACTCGCATCACATCAGCTGTGCTGTGTCAGTAGTCCTGTTGCCCAATAATGTCCTTCTGAAAAATGGCACAAAGCATGTGCTTTCTTCTGGATGCTGCTGTGTCTGAAGGCGAGCTTCTGTTTGTGCAAAGAACTGATGGAGCTGTAGGGAAGGTGGTGTTTTGTGATCTGCTGAAGTTTATTGTGTATGTGCAGGGTGGGGGGAGAGGTAGCAGTCCGTATAGTTTCCCCTTTTAGTTTTAAGGATGCAGTAATACTCTGACAGTGTTTTAAGATTTGGGGAGGGCACTGAATTTGTCTTTGGCTGCGAGTTGATTGTGATTCGTGCGTGGCCTCTCAGAAATACAGTGTATGATGATCCTGAAATTGTATTTCTTGATTGTCAAAACAGGTGGGAACAGGAATAGTATTCCTTTCTGTTCCCTTCTGGGGTACCTAGCTATGCATCGGCACTAGAAGGTGTATTTGGGGTACATATTGGCCAGGTGTGTATGGATATACACATATGCAATTTCTTTTGAAGGCCTGTTATAAAGGGGGTCTTGATACCGTTATTTACACACTGTGCTTTACTAGTCAGCATCTTGTTTTGTACTGGGTTATGGAAAGATGCACTGGCTTGAAACGTGGTCTGACCAATTTAAACCCATGGTGGTTTTCTTCGTTCTTGATGGAAAATAGTTTTTGGCAGACTCTTCCTCTGAAGAGTGGAGGAGCGGGAAGCTGTTTATGAATTTTGATGTATGTGTATGTATTTATGTTGTAAATCATCCTTTTATTTTGTTCTGTTGTCTTAAATCTCCACAGGACGAAGAGCGATTCGGGGCACTTTGCCAGGGAAGGAACTTCAGTGTGAAATACTCGGTGATTTGAGTGTATCTCTTTTTTAAGGGGTAAGGGTGTGAGATACTAACTCTCTGAAGTGGTGAACAGATTTTTTTTTTTTTGTAGGAGGGAGGGAAGTGAATAGTCATCAGCCTGATTACATTTGATTGTGGCATATGATGAAACTACAGTATTTTATGGCAATAGCTGAGCATATCGCTTTGATCGGAGTCCTACTATCAATGCTGAAGCAGTGGGGATATCAGTGCTGAATGGAATGAATGATTCCCATGTACTCATTCACGTCTTGCCTTTTGTTACTGGAAAGGAGTCATTTGTGGAAAACATTTAGAAGGTGCAGATGTTTAGAGGGTACAGCTCTTTTGCTTGGGATCGGCTGGCTTCTTGGTCCTTAGAGGTTGGGAACACAGAAGGCGTCATGTTGCTGTACCTGCCTCCTTGCCCTTGTGACTGGGAGACAGGATATGTGATCTAGTCCATATGTTTTCAGTGCTTCACAGTGGGGTAACATAGATGATCCTCAGGTGGATGGGAATAGGGCCCAATGCTTCCATCTCCGTGTGCCTGTATATATGAGGCTGGGCTGCCATGTGGCCCTCAGGTTTGGCTGGAGTGCAGTGAATGTACTTTCTTATCTCTTCACACTGGTGTGCACACTTGTGACTTCTCAGTGAAGAACATCCAAATTCAGGATGCTTTCCTCCATGGAAGTATGTGCCCATAGTAATGGGTAGGGAAGGGTGCAGGAAGAGGAGCCCCTGCTAGGAAGAACTTGCTAGGAAGACTGCTGTGCAGTAGCTAGGACTGTACTTCAAGCCTTGGATGTTTGGGTCACGATTCATGCTGTGGCACCGTAGGCAAGCAGTTTTCTCGTTCTTTGTATTGATTGAGTTCTTCGTTTGGGGTACAGGAGGCTTTTCTTTGCTGTACAATTGTTCATTGCCTGTCACTGATTTTTTTTTTTTGTTTGTTTGTTGTGGCCTCTCAGTGCTGCTGAAGAACATCTAAGCTCAAGCTTTCCTTGCCATGGAGCTCAGTCCCTGTCATGCCAGTTACCTCCTAGGGAAATTTTGTATTCAGCTGGTTGATGGTTCCCAGCTGAGCCAGCCTGCAGTGGTACAGAGGTGGATGTCTGTTCAACTGATCCCTTGGTGGCTGCCTTCCAGTTATGTAGGAGTTTCTATCAAAAGAAGGTGCTTGTCAAAATGGGTGCAGGGAATGTGATCTAGGCAATCTGGCATAGATCCCAGTGGATATGCTTTTTGCCGAGGTTGTTTAGGGCTCAGGGTCTAGTTGAGCTGTTGATCAGGTGATCGTTTGTAGCATCCCTGCTATAGAGAATACATTTTCCTATGCAGAGGTGACTGTGCCTTATTAATCTACTTTCAGGGACAAATGAAGAATAATTCCTGCCCCCCCAGTTTGCTGCTAACTGCTTGCACCTGTGCTCCAGGGATTTGCAACTGCTGAATTACTGTGTGGTGCTTGCTGCCTTGCTTGGGTTCCTGAGAGGCCAGTTGTTTGTGAAATGCCAGATTTCACAGCTGCACTTATGTTCCTGCTGATGCCCCCCTCAACTCCTACTTAAATTTGGCATGGATCTTGACCAGATGAAAATGTTATGGTAATGTTGAGGGTTAGGCAGGTTTGGCGGGAAGGCCAGGCAGCCTAACCTCCATAACACTGATTGTAACATCCAGCCATAGCAATAAAGCACTTGTGGAGAGTGGGCTGAAGGGTGAGTCTCATCTCTGTTGCTTCCATCAGGTGCAGCTAAGCCCTGAGCTAGTTTTCCAATAGCGAGACCCTCTTTGGAGATGGAGAGGATGCATGGTTCTCTGGCTAGATCAGTACTGGATTGGGACTTGAGTTTTTTGTTAGGACTGTGCGGCTAACCTTTTGACCTTTCACTGCAATGTATACTTAAAAGGCATATTGTATAGGTATACCTGGTATAGAGATTTCAGGGAGAAAGCTGCAACAGATGTCTTTGTGCCCATAGTATTACAAGAGAAGTCTTACTACATTTTTAGCAAAAGTATCCTGAGACATAGGGCTGGAGTAATTTTTCATGGGCTTTAGTGAAATTATAACAAAGCTGTGTTTAGCTGGGTGGGTTTTAAATAATACTACTTTACTATCTTCCATGTGTCTAGGCATTGGGAGGTTCAGAAATACCACGAATAGGCCTAGATTTGAATTAGCCTTTTGTCCAACAGAA